TATTTTTAAAAAGAAAGAATAGGCGGCACCGGAGGAAGAGTGTCTGAATTTACTTTTTCAGGACAGAGAGCTACAATATTGCTACCTCATTGTTAAAAGATGTGGAAAACACTGATTTCTTAGGGGCCTGTTGATTCTTGGCATGTTATGGGCTTGAGGAAACCATGTTAATTTAGAGAAAGGAGAAATTTAATGATCTTTTTTCTTTCATTAGGAAGTGTATAATTAGAGTGACAAAGATTATCAAAGACCCAGAAGAGGGTCTCAGATTTTTACCTTGTAGCCTTTTCCTAGAGGAGAGATGGCGAACCTTTGGAGCTCGGCGTGCCAGCATTTTGAAAAACCCTAACTTAACTCTGGTGCCGTGTCACATATAGAAATTTTTTGATATTTGCAACCATAGTAAAACAAAGACTTATATTTTTGGTATTTATTTTATATATTTAAATGCCATTTAACAAAGAAAAATCAACCAAAAAAATGAGTTCGCGTGTCACCTCTGACACGCGTGTCATAGGTTCGACATCACTGCTCTAGGTCCTTCACCTGGGTCGGCCTCACGTCCCACCTCACGAAGACGGTGCAGGGAGGTGAGAGGGGATTTAGAAACCAACTCTGAGGTCATGGGGGCCTGGCTCATGTCGGGGAGCAGGGGAGCAGCTCAGGGGGGAGCCCCTGGGGGGTGACGTTTACAGGTCACCTTCATGGCACACGTATGTCCCAGGAGCGTATACCGGGGTGGGCAAAAGTAGGTTCACAGTGCCCACATGGAAAACAAAACAGTAATTAAACAATAAAAGAACGAACGCTGTGCTTGGTGTACTCACAACTGTAAGCCTACTCTTGCGCACCCCGCCCTGGCTGTGTTACGTCCCTGTGGGAGGTGGACACGGGAGCTGGACCGGGTCCCGAGCCCCGGCCTCTGCCTCCGAGTCTGTGCTCTGCCGGTCCCTTCCCCGGGGTTTAGGGTCCCGAGCTGCCCCCCGGCAGCCTCTGCCTCGGACTGAATGTCTGTCTCCCCACGACATTCCTGGTGAAAGCAAACCCCAAGGCAATGGGATCAGAGGTGGGGCTCTGGGAAGGTGATGCGCTCGTGAGGGTGGAGCCCCTGTGAAGGGGGTTAGCGCCCTCGGAAGAGAGAGCCGAGAGCCCCCTCCCCCACGTGCGGGCACCGCCAGAAGTCAGTGTCTGCCTCCGGGAGAGGGCCCTCGGCCGACACGGCTGGCACCCTGACCTTGGACTTCAGCCTCCAGAACCGTGAGAAATAAGCTTCCGTGGTTTATAAGGCACCGGGTCTGCGGTGGTTTGTGACGCGTGCGAGTGGATGTTAACATACGTGACACTCGAGTCCACGGCAGTCACAGCTCTGCTGGCGCACACACTTCCCGTCCCTGCCAGAAGGTGCCCCGGGACGGCTGTGGGCTCGGCCGCCTGGCTGCTTTTCCCAGGAGGAAAGCCTTTCTCCTTCCCTGCAGCTCTGGACGGGGTTCGAGACCCAGGCCCAGAAGTCCGGGCGGCAGTGAGAAAACACTGGGGTGTCCCGGCCCGGCCAGGAGCAGGTCGGTGTGTGTGCGAAGCCTACCCCTCCCCTGCTGGTGCGAGTTCGGGGGGTGGGCCTGGTGCTGCTGCCGCTCGCGCCCCGCTGTGCTGCCCCCGCCGCCCCCCTCACCGCGGCCCCTCACCCCCGGCCCCGCTTACTTCTCTCGTCTGAAATGACCTGCACCAGCTCATACTGCTCCGGCTGCTCCTCGTCCAGATGGTGCTTGTCCATGGCCTTGCGGATGACAGCTGGAGCCTTGTCCTGGCTGGTCACCTGGATCGGGCGGGTCAGGCCGTCAGGGGGCTGCGGCCAGGGGCCCTCCGAGCCGCCCCATACCGCGCACAGGGACTGAGAGCCTCTGGCCGGGTGCTCCATCTGTGGGGGGCTCGCCACCTCCCCGGGGAGGCCTTGCAGTGACGAGGGGTCTTTCCCAATTGTTCCTACTCCCCATCCTCTCACAGGCCTGCCACCTCCTCCCACACTTCCTGGGCAACCAAGTGCCCCTCCACAACAGTACCCATGAGCCTGGGGCCAGACAACCCTGGAGGTGGGGGCCATGGGCCGGCCAGGGGCCACCAATGTGCCAGGCCTGCCAGGGTGGAGGCTGCCCCTGCTGTGTCCACCCCAAGGGCCAGAGTGCAGCGGCTTCAGACAGAGGGTCATCCATGCGACTGTGGCACGGGGCACCCTACCCAGTGGTGGGGTGTGGTGGGGACCCCCACAGGTCAATCCCGCTGGCTGGATCTCGACCTTCAAATTCCATGCAGTGTCTGATCACTGGCCGCCCCCCCGGCCACCAGCCTGGCACCAGCCCGTCCCCCAGAGACAGTCATAGGTCTCTCTGCCGTCCTCTGCTCCGACCTCCAGTGACTCCCGTCCCCCCAACCCCCGACACTTCCCCCACCCTCTTACCCCTGAGCCCCGCTCCTTCACCTCGGGCCTGCTCACTGCCCCTCCAGCCCCTGGGAACCCCCCTCCTTGGGACACTGCCCGGTGCTCCCCGAGACCTGTTCCCTGGCTGTGATCGGATGTCTACTGCCCT